TCATTTTATAATTTTTTTAATCCGATTACTCGATTAATCGTAAGTATAATCGATAGATTACTCGATTACTAAAATATTCGTTTACAACAGCCCTACTTGGTTGCCACTGACAACACTGATGTCCCTGAACTCTGGTCGACTTTGAAGGTCTGGTGTGGTGTCTATTTCTTATCCATCAGTAAAACATTCTTTAATTTTTGAAGGATATGAGAATGAAATATCTTGAAAGGTGAAATACATTCAGCAAATGACTTCAAAACTGAGTGGAGCCACTCAGTTGCCACTGGTGAAATTTTTTATTGTTGTAGTTCTAAAATAGTGTAGTTCAGGTTTTTATGTTTTCAAACACAAAAGGATTGTATTTCAGCTTTAGACATTTGACAGTACAACATGTGACTTAGAAACCTCTTGGGTTTCTGACCAGTATTTCCAGATGGCTTGGCAGTACAGATAGAGTGCACCATTAGGGCTGAGGCATTTCCACCTTGTAGCACTGTCAGGCTTAATTGAAAATACAAAAAAAGGCCTGTCGCAATAAGCAGTAAACAATCGCATGATAAATTGAAACAAACTCAATAATTTCCATTTTCATGATTTATCTATTTTCCCTTTTTTTCTCTCTCTACCAAAAACTGGATGTCAAAACGCTGGTGTTTTGGTCTCAACCTGCCCTTTTTTTGAAGGACAGAGACTTCATTTTATATGTCATTTATTTTTTGTTTTGTTTATTTATTTTGGATATTTAAAATCTTTTCCAGTTCCAGTGTTTAAATGTTCATTACAATTTAAAGTTTATTGATCTTTGACAATGTGTTCCTGAATTATTACACCATTAGCATTGCATTAGATTAGGTATATCGCAATAACTTCTGGGACAATTTATCATCCAGCAAAATACCATGACAGGCCTTTACAAAGGTAAACAGATCATCTGTCGTCTCAGATGATCTGCATACCTTTTTATATTGTATCACTTATCATTTAATCAGGATCATTTTATTTCTTTCTAATTTTAGTAATAACTTTCCATCTGATACCTGAACCAAACTTGTGCAAGTAGCACTGAAAAAAACAATGTTATAAATGTTTTGTCCACAAATTACAGAACCTGCAGTCAGCTCTTTGTTTTCTTTTGTTACATCATACACTGCTACTGCTGTCCAAGTTCCTTTCTCTAGCTAGGTTGTTGCTTTTGCAGCATCCTTCTCCTCTTCACCATATCAGCAAACTAGAGTTTCAGAGGTGTGTTTGGGGCTTAAAAATAAGGAAACGGCTCTTACTTTTGCTCTCAGTGAATCACAGGTTCTTTTATATCACCTCTGTTGCTTTTTCCTCATGTGCCCTCAGCCTCATTATTACTGTCAAGAAAATGCCTCATGTTCAAATTTTCTCTGAGTTTTATCTTGTGGTGCTTTTATCCACTTTTTAGTTCCTGACAGCCACTAAAATAACTTTGCAAGAATTACAGTTGTAGGAAAATGATCTTCTTTATAAACTCTGCTTATGTATTTTACAGGTAATGTGTTTGTAAATCTTTAACACTTTTAAGTCTTTTTATCCTTCTGAAAATGAAAAAATAATGCCCAAATGTATTAATACATTAGTATCTGAGTGTGCTCACCATGGAATGATGTCATAGAATTACACTCACTGCTGTCTGTTTCTAAACAGTGAATACACAGTGAATAGCAGCAGCAACATTAAATTTGCAGAAGATTTAATTCTGTAACTGTAATTAAAACAACATATATATTTGAATACTTTATTACCTTTTTTCCTATTGCTTGGGGAGTAATAATGCTTTCAGCTAATTAGAGAATATACAATAGTAGCTTTATATCAAAAAGATGAGACAATATTTTTGCAAAAAACTAAAAACAATTAGTTTTGTTTTTCACAAATTGAACAAGAGCATCAAAGATCAGAAACTATCTTTTCAACATGCGATAATATTTTATCCATAATGTGTTCCAGTTGTTGTTTTTAATTTATTTATTTTTTTTATACAACTATTTGAAATTTTTTATGAATCTGAAACTATTTTTGAGAAAATCATTGGTCCACTTTAGGAACAATCTGGACTTTTTTTAAACCTTCCTGAAAACTTGGAAGACTGAGATGTTTAGTTTGAGACAACGGAACGTTTTCTTAAGCATTTCTTTGAGAACCTGCATTTTTACTTTTAAAGCTTATAAAGTTAAGCATGTGATTAATCTGATTAAATTGTATAAATACCTGTTTAAGCTCTTCTGCCATCTTTTAGGGCTGTATTTGTTGCCCACTTGCATTCGTCGTGTAACACTGATGTTTTCCACTCACCTCTGGCGGCCATTTTAACCAGACAATATGTGTTTTGGTCTGTAAACAGTTAAAATGTTCTTGCTGAGCTGTGCAGACAGAATGCTGTATAATGTTTTATCTTTATCACCAGCTCAGGCAGCTTTCACGTGTCAACCACCCCAATATTGTGAAGTTGTATGGCTCTTGTAAAAGTCCGGTAAGTTAACTTAAGAGTGAGTACATGCCATGAATTTTCTGACTTGGTTCCTTGAAGAGGGTTTCTCTGCTCCTTTCCTCCTTTAGGTCTGCCTGGTGATGGAATATGCTGAAGGTGGATCGTTATACAATGGTGAGTCCAGATGCTGCTGTTACACTCTTTAAAGACCACAGCATTGAGATGAGGAACAACCCTGTTTCAGTTGACCTTTTTACTGTTGCATGATTGATGGGAAGCTTGTTGGATTTTATTGACAATTCGTCATTGCACAGTGACTTTCAGTGTTTGTAGTGGTTGTGACTGTTGTATTTATCCAAATGGAGATTTGAAGGCTTGGGAAGATATAAATGAGAAAAATAAACTTGAAGCCTTTTACCTTATTTTTCTCACTGAAGATTTAGACTTGCACACCAAGAACAAGATGTCCTTATGTTTTATTTTGCGTGTATGTGGTTTTTTTCTGATTAAGAATGAATGTTATCTTTATGTGAAGGTCTGCCTAACTGAAGTTGACTTGCTTAAATTCAGCATTTTTTCTGTAGCTTAATCCTGTTGCACTGCAGCATAGTTGGATTCTGGAGCAGAGCGTTGGACTGTTGTCTCCTGAGGCTTTTTCTTAAGCATATAAAAATTATTCCCCAACATTTAGAGAATTGTGACTCAAGTCACACTGAATGAAATGTTATTTGCCCATTAACTTGTGGACTTCTTATTTGCAAAATAATTATGATTTGAATATAAATGGTTAAGGTATGTAGAGCTGACAGTATTTAGCACAGACTAGTGATAGCTTCTTTGTGGTTTCCATTCTTTACACTCCTTTAGTCCAAGCGTAATATTTTTGAAACCATATCTTAATGTTTTTGGGATCTCATGTGAATGATGTTTATAACTGTAAGGTCTCAGTTTTATCTTGTCTAATTGTTGAAGCAGCTATAGCCAAGAGACAGTTGAGTAGATGTGTGGCACAGCAATGTGTGCCTGCAGGACCCAGTTTGCTGTCTGTTTTTTTTTTTTTTTTTTTTTTTTAAGTTTTTTGTTCATGGTGGTGTTTGTGACTGTGTTCTCTTGTTCACAGTGCTGCATGGTGCTGAACCCCTCCCTTATTACACTGCTTCCCATGCCATGAGCTGGTGTTATCAGTGTTCCCAGGGCGTGGCCTATCTCCATGGCATGAAACCAAAGGCTCTCATTCACAGGGACCTCAAACCACCCAAGTATGCTCCTTCTCCTCACTATACATACACTGCTGTCTCTTGTGTCACTATCACTGAAGTGCCTTGACTTCACTCTCTGATCTTGCTAGCTCACAAACGCAGCGAGGCAAAAACTGTTTACTTTCCAGGTCATAAACCTCTACACCTCCTGCATCAAAATAGGAATGTCATAAAAGCACATAACACCAGTTTTAAAGTCACTACACTGGCTCCCTGTAGCTCAGACAATAGACTTTAAAATACTCTTGTTAGTTTATAAATCACTAAACGGTTTAGCACCACAATACATTAAAGATCTGTTGTTGTACCAACCATCTAGACCCCTCAGATCTTCTGGTTCTGGTTCTGCTCTGCATCCCCAGAACCAGAACCAAACGAGGAGAAGCAGCATTCAGCTTCTATGCACCACAAATTTGGAACAAATTTCCAGAAAACTGTAAAACAGCTGAATGAGTGCTTTTAAATCTCGACTTAAAACCCACCTGTTTAGAGTTGCCTATGGCTGAAGTAGGGTTAGAGTCCCAGTTAAACGGCGTTTTAACTAAAGTTCTAAAGGGTTAGAAAAGCGGTGCAGGTTTTAATGTTTTTTTTATTTTTATTTCATTTATTTATTTTTATTAATTTTTTGATTGTTTATTCAATGTCACATGACTCTGTGTTTTTGTTTTTAATGATGCAAAGCACTTTGAATTGCCTTGCTGCTGAAATGTGCTATACAAATAAAATTTGATTGATTGATTGATTGATTAATAAAAAAAACACTAAGAATGTGTAATGTAATGCAGAAGTGATTTATTTTAGTTCAGAGATGGGGCTGCTTAGAAAATGTCAAGTTGCTGAATAGAGTTTGCGAGGTCAGAGGTTTGAAAGTTGTCCCTCAGTTGTGTCGAGTAGGTAAGCATGATACGAACATAAAGACAATCTCAAAAAGTCCCAAGGAAGCAGAAGTAAAAGTTCTAAAAAATTGTGCTGTTCATTATTCACTGCTTTTCTACATATAAGCTGTTTAACAGCAAGTCATTCGTTATTGAATCACATCTTTGAGATCTAAAGTGCTTAACGCGCTTGAAACATGTTAATTCAAGATAACCTGACTTTATTCAGCAACAAATTCCTTTTAAACTGTGGTTTTCAAATTTCTTAAGTTCCTTTTAGGGGAACAAGACTTTTCCCCTATTTTTCAGTGAATTTGAAATTGCACTGAATTTTCAGTGCAATTTGAGTTTGTTTTCAGGCCAAAAAAATAATTCACAATGTCTTTTATTTCTTTTGTCTTTTCCACTTGTTTGGGAAAAATAGACATTGCTAAAAATGTATTCATTTAAAATGCACAACTATGTGTGTATTTAAAGGTCTGACAGTCTCAGGAAGAACAGACTTGCTGTAGCATTGCTCAGCACATCTGGGGCCTCATGCATAAAAGACTGCACAGTTTTGATACTAAAACTTGGTGTACGGAAAAATTTAGAAAAGCGCGGGCATACAAAAAAATTGGATGCATAAAGCTGTGCGCACGCACGTGGCCGTGCACCTTTCCTTTATAAATCCTAATTTGCGGAAAATGGAGCGCAGATGCTGGTCCGCTTGTTGCCACCCACAACAAATACTTATGTAAATTTGTATAAATACCCGGAAGTCTGCCATCATGTGAAGCAATAACCATGGCAACGTCCTTGTTTGAAGCAGTATAAGTATTTGCAATAATAATTATTCTATATTTTATTTAAAAGGTACTTTGAGGGCACATAATGCCACCTCACAAAAATAAAAATACATTTTAAAGAAAAAAAAAATCCAAAATAAAAAATAAAGAGATCATGCAAATGCCTGTCTGAACAGTGGCGCGTTCAGCCAGGATTTAAAGACAGACAGGGAGTAAGAGGGTCCTTTGAGTGGGGAAAGTGGACGTTTATTCTAAATAGTAGAATCATGTGAAGTTGTACATTTACAGAATAAAGATGCTTTATGTCCATAAGGTGCATTCACAAAGCGGGCGGCTCGACTGAAGGATGGCTGCAGCTGGACTGGTACCGGTACCGCTCCTTCTTTAAGTTTTGCTCAGAGATCCAGGATAATCAGTCTGGCTTAATCTAAACGCTAATGAACCACCATCAACATTTCACAGCAGATCAATATGATCTCTGAACAAACGCTCCCTCTGAATACTTCCATTGGCGATGTTCTCCATCAGAGCCAAAGCTCCACAATTACGCGGCTCACCTTTGCGCAGCTACTTATATACGTGTGATTGTATACACATCTTGGTCACCTTAAAAATAATCAAACCTGTTTATTATTTTTAATTAGCAGGTTTGAGTTAATCTGTTTTTTTTTGTTTTTTTTAGTGAGAATGAAATTACCAATGCGTTACATCTTTATGAGACAAAAACTGAGAAAAAGTACTACTTACATTCGAGCGAGGTTTTCACATACTTTTATTTTTATTTTTTTTATTTTGTGTGCATTTTAGCTTATTGTCTGAGGATAAATGCGATTCAGTTTCATCGTTAAGGTTTAAGCAATAAAATTTTAAAATCATAAAAAACATTTGTTTGGCGCTTCTTAGTCTAAATAACACTGAATGTAATCAGATTTTAGTGTATTTAGGTGAATTTTGACGCTTTGTAGTTTGATAGTGTCCACAGAAAAGTTTGTGTGGCTGCCGCACATTTTCACGCCAGCGACAAAGGGTGCGTATATTTACACAAACCTTGACGCAAAGTAAAAATTTTTATACATGCCAATTTTTGCGTAAAATATGGGAACGCACATTTTTTGTGTGCATGCACGCCTTATGCATGAGGCCCCTGGACTTTAGCTATGGCTGCTCCTCAGGATGTCCACCAGTAAACTTACTGGCAAAATGAAAGTAGTGCAAAGAAACCAAATTATATATTTAGACGTTAGTTGTCTGAACAATTTGTTCAACATATTCACTGAAACATAAAACGGACAATAATAATTGTAATAAAACTGCTCAATCAGAATTTACTTGTTCAAAAAATGAAAGTTTAGCAAAATATTTTCTTTAAGAAATATAAAAATGGACTCTTTAGAGCATATATAAAGATAAAGTTGATTTAAGGAAAGAATCCCAATGACCTAATAATCATTCTGTCTATTGTAGCTCTTTTACTACATGGTAACACGTTTCTTTTTGTATGTAAAAAATGTCAATAAAATAATATCTTAATCTCGCACTCAGTTAAATCAATTTTTAGAATAACCAATTTAAAAATAGTATGCTTTTAAAAATGCACTTGACTCCAATTTTAAAAAAAAGATTTAATAGTTGTATCACTTATCAATAAAACATGAGTAAGAGAAAACTTTTTTTTTCTGGATTGACTGGTTGTGTTAGTGATGAATGGAAATGCTGCACGTTCTTGAAAAGGAATTCAATAGTCCTGAATTTGTGCTTGTTTGGGTCAGTACCCAGTTCCATAAATAGAAAATGTTAATCATAAACAATCCTAAAATATCCAACTAATTCCAGCTAAGAAGATCAGCATTTGGTCAGTGTTTCTGTTTTGAAGCTGTTGGGATGAATAGAAGTCATCACACATCGGCTGGCGCAGAAGGAGATGTGAATACATACAACACATGCTTCTCCCCATTAATCTAAGGGGAGAAACATGTTTCTCTCCTTAGGTTAGATCAGTGTTTCTCAACCTTTTTTGGGCCAGCGTCCCCCTAGCCTTCATCCAGGTCCCTCACCAC